TGCTTGAAACAGATATTTTTGACAGAGAAGATGTGGTTATTCAAACTGCTTTCTATGTTGACAGGGCAGCCTAAGTGATGGAGCTGCATTATGTGATAATGGCGGGTGCTAAAATGTTACTTTTTCGTTGCTTTAACAATCTAACTTGTAGCAAAAATCATAGCTACTTTCTTTGTAAGCGTGGAATACTTTTATTACTTTAAACTTTTTGAGGAAGAAGTTAAAGAGCTTATTTTTTTCATTAACAGTTTTGTAATATCATTTTTACCGTAAAGTTTTTTCGCTTTTTAAGGTTGACGACTAAAGAAACATAAAGCTGAGTAATCATACAAGTAATAATTTACTAAATAATTGAGTACTTATTGTTTCGGTATTGCGTACCTGATGTTGCGCATTATGTGGTTTCATATAAGGTACTAATATCAGCTGGTTACCAGTCAACAACAGATACGAGTTACAGCAGTAGTCAGTGCTCAGCTGTAGCTATCAATTATGAGAAATCTTAAAAAACAAATAAACTTCTACATTACAGGAGCTGTAAATTTCAGAACAGCATTAATTTGTTGACTGTTTCAAAAATTTTGAAGTGGTAATGTCTATTATGAAAAAAAATTGGTTACCTGTTTCGATTTTAGTAAAGAATTAATACATTTAGAGTAAATTATTTCATTGATCGAAGTGATACAAAAATGTAGTTCTTACTTAATTTCTTTAAAAAAATACAGTTAATAATTTCTACTTCTCATATCAAATTTATTATTTTTTAATTAGTACTGCTATTTTTGGTGTTCTGATTCTTCCAATATTTTTTTTAGTAGTTATTGTTAAGTAATGTCTTGACACCTTAACAATATTATGCTTTAATTTGACAGTTTCAATGGCACATTCCTTTTCCTTGATTTTTTTTTCTCTTTCCTCAGTTATTTTAACCACTGGAAATTGATCATTCACTTAATATTTACGTCTGTTTCATAAACATTAGTCGAAACTTTCCATTATCTATTCAGAAATAGAGGGAAAAAAATTGAGCAACTTTTTTTTGTTATAACTCCTGATACTTGCAGTTAATTTTGTTGGAAACAAATCGTAGACGACAGAACACTGATGATTGATTACTGCTGTCGGACTATCGTTATTACTACACTAATTGTTCAATTTTTTCTGGTACATTTATCCAAGGCATCCAAAATTCATCAACGCAATAAAAGACAATTTTTTTATGATGAGTATTATGGAGCATATGCTGGATAGTAAGTTTTGCTCACTTACACTTTGCACCTTACAAGTCTTTCGTATCTATTTTCTGTATCACACACAGATTTGAATCATTTCTACGGAATATGGCTTATTTCTGAAAAAAATTGAAGTTAAAAAAACAGTTATTATATTGTGATACGCGAAGAGAAAAAGTGAGGGTAATTTACTTGTTATTTGTTGTCCCAGTTTTCGCTCCAACTTTCCGAACGTTCAGAAATGGAGTATTTTTTCCTCAAGAAAGTAAAAATATTTTTGAATACATTTTTATAGAATTTTTCGCCGTACAGCGTCAGTTTATCACTTGAATACATTCGCTGAAACTCACATTAGCCTTAAAGTCCTTAACTTCCATAGGATTAACTATGTAAAAGTTTGTCTACTCAATTTTCGCAAAAAAGTTCTACGTTAAATTTAGTCAGGAAATGTCGCAATAGCGCTTTATTTTGATATGTCGGTTACGAGTAATAAGCTTTAGCAGTTGCATACATAGCGGGTATTCTTCGATTTCTAGAATTTTGAAGAATTAAAGGTAACTAAAGATGTTAAACGGTGTTAGGATCTGAAAACAAGTAACAAAATGTTACTTTAACAGTACACTACAACATATTTAGAATTTTATTTGCTGTAAAAGTCAGTTTTTTGTAACGATTTGTTAGTTGTTTTGACCTATGCTTTGACGGGGAGTAGTCGCTTTTCTTCATTTCTAAAAACACCTGTTTACCACGAATTGTTCAGCGCTTATGTGCCGTGTCCTAAGACTGCATAGACGAGAAGCACTGTATGGTCCACTGAAAGCAGCTGCGTCAGTGAAGAGTGACTGAGTGGTCAAAAGGCAGATTTTTGTCTTTGGTGATAAATACTACTGTAATTAGTGGGTTGCTGACTAGAGGTTGAAAACAGCTCGTGACTTCACCGTTGTGGCTGCAAACTTTTGGATGTTTATTTAGAATTACCAAATTTTTTAAAGTAGTGAGTGGCTGATTTTGAGTCCATGAATGAGGATGACCAGAAAGGACGTGTTTTTAAGACTAAGAGATGCTTCTATGAAATTTGACGGGAAAGGCTGGTAATATTTGACAGAGAAAAGTTTCTTGACCTTGTGGCTGCTTAAAATGAAGTTTAGGGATTAATTCAAGGAGAATTAGTAATTTGTTGGTGAGAAGAGGTCCCGACTAAACTTCTAAAGAATGAACCGAAAGCGGACGCTAGATATGAAAATCTTAAAGCATCAAGTGGATCTGATGCTAGAATGTAGTTAGTAACACTAAATATATTGAGTAAAATAAAGGGTTATGCGCGAAAGTTCCAAAAGTTAAAAGTATTCATTTAATATTCAGAACGTAAGCTTTATGACCTCTGCTGATAAATGTTGCGCTCCATGCAGTGGTGCCCGCTGTATAGATTTTTTACCGTGTTTTTAAACAACTAAAAGCTCCTTTTAAATAAAGCTAAGCTAGACGAGTAGTCAATAGCCATTGTCCATAACAGAAACAGAATAATTATAATAATTTGCTGTAATTTGCTGGTATCAGGATAATGCAGGCTGATCTAACAAGTGTAACAGGGGCACTAAATTCTTCTATGTTTACTGCGCTAGCTCTTCAAGATCTTTTCTTTGTAGCGATATTTTTATTTAAGATATAAGACTTTGTCCGTTACCTTAATATATGCAAGTGACATTTCTGAGACTTCCTGACCGTGTTTAAAAACGACATACTAGATTTCTTTACAAAAGGTATACCAAACGGAATCTTGTTCGAAACCAAAAAAGCGGAGGCAATGAGCAAAACACAGCTTCTCCTGTACAAGTAGAATTCATCAAGATAATCCGTTATGAGAGACTATTATTTTCTTTTCAGCACTCTATATAGGATCATAGGTCTAATTGTTTGCATCATCTTGCTATGTATCTGTTGTTTTTCGCCTTGCATATGCCTTGCCGGTGTTTGGTTCGCTGGATGGTTCGGACTAAGAAATCCGAAAAAACGTCAACTGGAACACCGTGCAGAATCTCCTCCCCGCGTTGTCATACAAAGTTTGTCCACTGTTGTCATTATACACAAAACCACCCGTCACATCTAGCCACTTTGAACTAATCCGAAATGAAAAAGGAGGATTTTTGAAAGATTTAGATACCGCACCATCTGCTTATATACCGCAGCGCGAAACTCATGAAACACGAAACGGAGGCGGTGGAAGGACTGAAGAGATCTTGTATCAGGTCAGGGAAGTTGACCGGCGTATTGACTCCAGCAGCGGACCCCAAGGCTACGACCGGTATGAGCGACACAAACCATCACGCTTGTGAAAGAATGAAAACTTCGTTCTCACTGCGAATGAGGACCTAGTAACTTGTTTTCCTGTACAAATGTTTATTATTGACTTAATAGTTTCATGTGAATTAGTAACAAATTAATTATAAAAAGCTGTTGCACAGAACTAGCTGCGATATACTGCAGTAAAGGACAAGGATAAACTTCCCTCCAAACTTTATTCACTTAATCGTTGCACAATTCAGGAAGGTTTTTTTACAAAATAGTGTCAAGCAAAGCTCATACACAAGTTAACTAATCACAAACCACCGATTAACAGACTTATGCCGAAATCAATGGCATAACTCTTTCAGCGCCAACCACACCCTTTTAACAGTAAAGAAATGAGGCACCTTAAAAAGTACGATTCAAAAAAATGCAATGCTCTCACAGCTGTACAAACTTTAATAGTGATCGGCAGTCCCAGAAAAACAATAGAATGGGAAAGGAAATCATTCTGAATTAATAAGTCACACTCAAGCAAACAAAAGCGCTTTTGAGCACTAACCTTTTGCTCGCATTTCCGCTTTTCTACTCCCTCTTTTTGCTACTATACACTTGCTTACCGCTCAAATGAAACAGCAGCGCCAGTGCCAATCATAACAATGCAATAATTTCTGTAAGCCCACTGCAAAAAATATCTGCAGAAGACCGGCACAGGACTCGAAAGTGGCAAGTATAGTTTTCCTTGCCTAAACAATAAAGGATGTAGAAAGTCGCTAGGCAAAAAATGAGTTGGAAAAACACCAGTACCGAGTAAGAGGACTATTTCACAGTACCCATACAAAAGCAGCTAACTTGAACACTATTTGAAATTCAGATCACTGAAGTTAATTTTGCACTGTGTACAATGAGGTTTATAAAAACTATTAAGTTTTCCATACATACATTACCAGGACCACAACAGTCGAATATCAAAAAACACAAATGAGAACAGCCAAAAATCCTAGTCACATTCAGGATATATTCATTTTGAACATAAAAAATACCCAGAACTTAACGCGCTTTTTATATTTCAAAAAAAAAAAGCACTGTAATCGCTGTTGAAACATCCGCCCGGCCCTCTTTGAAAAGCAACAGGTGAAGAAAAAAAATCAAAAGTGGAGAAACAAAGAGTTGCGTGTCATAAACTAAAACCATCAAATACAGTCATCTCGACTGTTGCGGAAAAAATCGCTATTTGAAAGTCATACGTGGAAAATTAAAAATTTCCACC